GCCTTGAATTGTCTTAAGTGCCTCTCAAGGGATTTCTGTGTATACGCACCAGACACGTGTCAGTCTGCACAGTTCAGTCCTTCCCACTGACTTCAGTAAGGATTAGAAAGGACAGGTTAGTCTGCTGAAGTACCTTGAAGGGCCCTCTAAGTTAAAGTTATTCCAGAAATGTTAAAGTAATCTGATAATGTTTTTTCTTCAAATGCTATCCTAACTTCCTGTCCCCCAGAATAAAGTAGCAGTTTGTGGTGGGTTGACCTTGGCTGGCAGCCAGACTCCCACCCGGCTGCTCTCTCACTCTCCCTCCTCAGCAGGACAGGAAGAGAAAATCAGGTATGAAAGCTTGTGGGTCAAGACAAGGACAGGGACATTGCTTACCAGTCACCCATCGCGGGCAAAGCAGACTCGACCTGGCAAAGATTAATTTGTTGCAAATTAAAAATAGAGTAGGATGGTGAGAAACAAAAACAAAACTATAAACACTTTCACCCCACTCTGTCTTCTTCGCGGGCTCATCTTTACTCCTTCATCTGAACTGTTCTACCTCCTCCCTGCCCTGAGTGGCGCAAGGGGATGGGAGCTGCAGTCAGTTCATAACAGCTCTTCTCTGCCAGTCCTTCCTCTGCAGGGGGACAGCCTGCTCCACCATGGTCGTCTTCAGGGGCTGCAGGAATCACTGCTCTGCTCCAGTGCCTGGAGCACCTTTCCCACCTCCTTCTTCGCTGCCTGGTGTCTGCAGAGTTGTTTCACATTTTTTTCCTTAACCCTCCCTCTCACAACTCCTGCACAATAATTTTTACCCTTTCTTAAATATCTTACCATTTAGGCGCCACCAGTGTCACTGATGGGCTTAGCTTTGTCTGGCATTAGGTCTGTTTTGGAGCCAACTGGGCCTGGCAGTGTCCCATCTTCTCACAGAGGCCACCCCTACAGCCTCCCCCCACTACCGAAACCTTGCTGTGTAAACCCGTTACGCTATTTACATGCTCACTGAAAGTTTTCCTCATTCTTAACAAAAATTTAGATAAGTGTGAGTTCTTTCAAAACTTTGATACCTCTGAGAGGTAGTGGATGAAATTCTTGTACACTGATGCACATTAGGAAGTCTTTCATCTGGCACATATGTCTATAAAACCAGGAAGTTTTAGAGAGTAGAAAGTACTGATGCGGCCTTGTGCATGAAAGCTGTATGACTGAGTGGGTTAAATATTAAAGGCATATTTTATATGTAAATATAGCAGAAGTTCATTATTTTAAAGAAGAATAGCTTAGAAAATGAGCATGGAATTATTTGTATGTAACTAGCATGACACAGTATATATTTCCAATTATAATTCAGTTGAGGTACATGTGTGTATATAGTGCTGGACAATAAATGGAGTAAATTCTAGTAAGCTTTCTGGAAAAATGAAATGTGTGAGTGAGTGTCTTATTTCAGTCCTTCCTCAGAAGGAATATGGCTCTCTGTTGTATTTGCTAGTCCTTGATTAATTCATTACTGATCCTTTTTCTTTTGGATATTTGAGAAATATGTTTGAGACATCTTTGTGTATTGCTTTTTGCCCAGCAGCATTTACTGCGCCACCTGCAGATGGCTCTGCTCAGCCACATGTGTCTTGGGCTATGGTACTTTCACAGCCCCCAAAGAAAATTGTGTCATCACCAGCAACTGAAGGTCTTTCTGAAGGCAAAGGGAAGGAGGATAATGAAGCAAAGGTACTTGAGAATTGTCTGCTATAAACTAATTTCTGTCACTGTGTGATTGTGTCTTTTGATGTGAGACATCGCCATTTTTTTCCTAGGCTCCGTGCAGCGTCGCTGCTAAGAAGTAATGTAAAGTCACTTTGTCCTTATTAGAATTTTTCTTCTCTAGTAGTGGAAAAGAATAACAGGATGTCAAAAAGACAGTGCTACTCGAGCAATACGAATTCCAACTTTTAGGCTGGACTTTTTTCAGATTCCTGACCCTCAGAATGAGACATGAAACATGGAACTCCTCCCTTATTTGGACGGATATTTCCTATTGAAATCTCAGTAGTCCCAATACATTCCAATAGCTGTGCAATATGTTTCAAATAAAGAGCTTTTGCAGTAGCTCTGAAGTTCTAAGAGATCCTGACTTTGGCTTGTCCACTTAATGTCCTAGCCTGAATTGATTAAGATACTCTTTAGTTTTATAAGTTTGGTCACTGGCATTTATTTTGATAGGTGGTGTTGAAATAAATGAATTTCTAATGGTAACACCTCATGATTTTTTTCAGCAGGTAGAAACAAAAAATAATGCTAGTGAAACCGAGCCTGAAGAAGGGTCAGAAAAGAAGAAGAAAAAGAAGAAAAAGAAGAAAAAAACAAAGTCACCCACTGATGTAGAGAAACCTCGAAATGAATCTACTAAAATACAGGAACCACCAAGGATTGAGGTACAGTGAAGAGGTTTTTGTTGTTCTTTTAAGTGTTATGAGTGTATTGGAAGACTGTGTGTTAACACAGCTTTGTACAAATTTAAGTTCAAATCCTATTTGTAGAGGATATTGGTCCAGGTCCGTTACGGTTGAGGTGTTTCTCAGAAGTTACTGGTGGGGAACAGTTGTGCCTTTTGACTTACCACATATTCAGTGGGCACAGAATGCAGAAGTGACTTCGGAGCAGATTTGGAATGATGCATCTGAGAGTCCGGATGTTAACAGAGTACAATAAAAGTCAAATTTCCTAAATTAAAAATATTCTGTATTAACTGTTGCAGAAAGCAAAGTGCTTTCCAGTAATAGGGGGTATACTGCGTACCATAGTGTGCCACAGTTTTGAAGAATGTGGTACTGATAGTACAGTTCTACCCATCTCACATCTGGAAGTAATTTCTATGTAACACAGTTGTCACTGCTTACATTTCTGATTGCTAATTCCAGGTTTTTTTTCAAATTTATGTAACTGTAATATACATATTAGTATTTTGATACTTTTGTGCGTCAATATTTTGAAAGCTTTAGGCTCTCACACATTAGAGAATTGTTGTATGGTGTGTGGTTTAACAGTGCTTCATTGAAAGCCCTGTATTGTACAGCACAATGAACATGTGTCAGTTTATATGTCTGATCTAGTGTACGTAATGTGCAGTCTGTGAAATGACGGCCTAAAGAGCCTTCTGGCTGGCTTCTGTTCTGTACGTTTTAGTGTCGAACATGGAGCAGAACTGTGGCTACACGTTCTTTTCATTGTGTGGTTCATTGTCCTGGAATGACACAAGAAATTACCTTTTACAGACTTTTTGTTAGAGAATTATGGGTGGAATCAAAGACCTGCAGGTTCTTTTCCTCATGAGAACACCCCCTTTTTTACTATATGCTACCATACAGTGTCTGACTTGTGAAAGACTTACAATCTGAACAGAAAGAGAATAGCAGGAGCCATGGAAAATAGTAGGAAGATAGTTTGACTATTGAAGACAAAAGTGGAAAAAAATGGCGTGAAATCATGGAACAGGACATATGCATTGCACTGAAATCCATGATGAGGATGCAGGAAATGTTGTGGCAGCTGGGGACCGCTTTCAGACCTTCCTGGTTTGCTGGGAATGCTTGTGTGCCCATCAGTTTGAAAAATAGTTGAGATGCTTATATGATGCCCTTGAAATAGAAGAGCATGAAAGGAACATACACATGGAATGTCTGGGCACCCAGGGAATTTAAGAAGGTTTTGTTATGTGCAGCAGCTCACTGGAGCGGTATATTGGATTGCTTACTAGTTTTATAAAAGTCACTCTTTTATAGACAACTGTTAATAAGCATAAATGGATGCATTTAGGGAAAAATAATCCTTTTTTTTCCAGTGACAGGCCCTGAGCTAGGTATTTTCCCTGAGGGGAAAAAAGTTGAAGCTGCTGTTGATAATCAGGTCAGTGCTGGTAGTACTGGTCAAACATGCAAACAGTGCTGGGAATTATGAGGAAAGTAGAAAAGAAAATGGATTATAAGAATATGTAAATCCAGGATGTATCTGATCTAAATATAGTGTGGATTTTGTTTTTGTTTGTTTCCTCCACTCCTTAAAAAATATACATACTTGATCTAAAAAAGACAGGCAAAAGCCTAGAAATAATCAAAGGTATGAAGCAATTTCTGTGGGAAGCAAGACTGAATAAACTAGGTCTTCTCAGTCTGTAAAATAGACATCTAAGTAGGATTCAGAAGTGACAAGGAAATAAAAAGAAAATTATTTGATCTTCTAGTTGTGTTTGAGGTCCTCTGGTTCTTTTAGGTGATGAGTTAAGAGTAAATATAAGGGGATGTAACATCACACTGAGTGCTAAAGTTTAATTATTAATTTTTCTACAGAGTTTTGCAAATGCCAGAAATTTATTTGAATTCACGAAGTTACTGGACAGACTGAAATAAAAATTTATTCTAGTGAGGGCTATTTAAATGTGAAGGTAACTACTTCTGGTTCGTTATGTCCCTAAGCAGGAAGAGTGCCTTCGTAAAACATTTTTCACTTTCTTGAAGTCATCTTTTGACGTACTTCCAGTCTTCTTTAAAAATAGTTCATTGAGTGAAGAGTGTCTGTCCTTCAGCTAGAGCTTCCTAGCTTGGGCTCTTGAGATGAAGTCTATCAGGCTGCAGAAGTGTTGGTGTGTTCAGTAGTATTGTATCAGAGCTAAAAAGGTCTCTCAGAAAGTGGGAGGAAAAGCAATTGAATGAACACCAAGCTGGTGGATCAGGGTCATTATGATTGAGACAGTGGATATAAGGTGACCACTGTAGAGCAAGCTTCGGTCTGTGCATTTAGTTAATCCAGAGTCTGGATAATGTATCCTCTGCTAATAAAATCTACTCTTGTGTCTAAGCCTACATAATCACTTGAGTGATTTATCTGTTTCCATACTGTAGTCAAGAGTTATTACCCTTTTGGCAGCCCTTTTTGTTCTTCATCACTCACATGTTTAAGGCAGAATTGCACAGCTGGAGACTGTACTGGAAGAAGAGGGAAGTTGTTTGCAAGGCAAAAAACATTCCTTTAGGAGCCATTTACCTTGAATTATTTGTATCAGATGGCTGCAATAACAAGCTGCTGTTGGAAGCATTTCTCTTGTAAGCTCTTTCAGCCCTGAATTATCTGCCGCATGGATGACTTAACCATTGTAGTGCTGATTATAGTTGGTGGCACTGCACTTGGCTTCTGAATTTTTGTACAGTAAAACAAATTATGATGAATGTTTGATAACCAGGGAGCAAATAATTTGAATGTAGGAAAATCAGTTTTGATAATATAGACTTGGTAGTTCTTAATAAAATCATTTTTGGATTTATTTGTTTAGGATGCTGAGGAGTTTCCTGATCTGGCAGCTGCTTCTGATAGGAGAAACAGGCTAGGATCTCAGAAATCATCATTTACTCCTGCTGTCAGAAAGCAGGATGAAGTAAGTACTCTTATCACATTATGTGAATGTTAAGAAAATAAGCAGGAAAGGACTACAAGTTTTAAATGAGACTAAAGGTGGAATTCTTTTGAGTAAATGTAGGTGCTTATGATGTGGTACTCTGCCCATGGCAATCCCCTTAGCTACTCTGTGGACAGTGAAGAGCTACTTGCTGTGTTCAGTAGATTCATAACATTCCAAAGGGGATACCTTTTTGGTCTCTGAACTGCTGCCTAAACTCTGGGCTACTAATTCTGATATAGACTCCTCTGTTGTTGACACTTGAAGTTAGGTAAAATGAGTTGTGTTTATGTAGTTTATTTTCCTACAGGTAGTGTTTTAGTTTAATTTTGCATTTCATAAGAATAATTCTAAGACTCTTTCAATTTCTGCCTTTGCTGTTTGTTCCTATTATCAAATTTCAAGGGCATCTGAGCAGTGTAACACTTTGTTATCAAGCTGTGCAAGCGTGAGAATTTGAGTCTAACATCAATTATAAATCCAAGCTTTTTTTTTTTTTCCACAAGTAACATAAATTCCAAGGATTAATTTGGAGATTCATTCAATATGAGGATGAATCCCAAACATAAATCACAAGGATTTGGGAGCTGGGTCTCTTTAGCTTGGAGGAGGCTGAGGGGTGACCTCATTAGTGTTCATAAATGTGTAAAGGGCGAGTGTCAGGAGGATGAAGCCGGGCTCTTCTCAGTGCTGTCCAGTGACAGGACAAGGGGCAACAGGTGCAAGATGGAGCATAGGAGGTTTCACATTAACATAAGGAAAAACTTTTTCACATTGAGGGTGACAGAGCACTGGAACAGGCTGCCCAGAGAGGTGGTGGGGTCTCCTTCTCTGGAGACATTCAAAACCTTCCTGGATGCGTTCCTGTGTGATCTCTCTAGGTGGTCCTGCCCTAGAAGAGGGGTTGGACTAGATGATCTTTCGAGGTCCCTTCCAACCCTTAACATTCTGTGGTTCTTGTGATTGCTCTTGCAAAGCAAATAATGTAAATAATAAAGGTGAAATTCCAGGTTTCTGTCTTTGAAACTAGTTTTGCTGCTAGAAATTTTTGTCCTTGGTTTTGCTTCACTATGAATATTAGTGGTTTAAAAAAAAAAAAAAAGAAAACACAGAAAACCAAAACCCTGGTTTGCTTTGTTTGAGGCAGTAAATTGCATGGACAGGTAGGAATGAGCAGCAAGAGGCACTGTAATTGCTCAAACCAGGTTTGTCATAAAGAAAGTGCTATACAGGCTTGTACCTCAAATAAGAGAAACCTTTTAGCTTTGTAGGTGTAAGTGGGATATAACCTCTGAAAGCTTACATAAGCTGTAGAGTCATGTGATCGTTAAGCCACTCATACTCCTCGGTAACAAATATTTGAAGATGCAGCTGCCTTGCTGTTTTTTTCTTCCAAATCTGAAAAAAAAAAAAAAAGAATGAGTCTGATTAAGTAGTATGACACCCAATAAATGGTTGCACTTTTAGAAGGCCACCGGAAGGTCTTCTCAGAGCCTTCTCTTCTGCAGGCTGAACAACCCCAACTGTCTCCGCCTTTTATCACAGGAGAGGTGTTCCAGCCCTGTGACCATTTTTGTGGGCCTCATCTGGACCTGCTTTAACAGGTCCATGTCTTTCTTGTGTGGGAGACCCCAGAACTGCACACAGGACTCTGGGTGGGGATGCACAAGAGCAGACTAGAAGTGGGAGAATCACCTCCCTCTATATCTGCTGGCCACACTTCTTTTTATGCAGCCCAGGATAGAATTGGTCTTCTGGGCTGCGAGTGTCCGGTTTTTCATCCACCAGTATCCCCATCTTTCTTGGCAGAGCTGCTCTCAGTCACTTCATCCACCAGCCTGTGTTGATGTTGAGGATTGCCCTGACTCAGGTGCAAGACCTTCCACTTGGCCTTGTTGAACTTTATGGGGTGCACACGGGCGCACTTCTCAAGCCTGTCAAGGAGACTCTGGATGCCATCCCTTCCCTGAAGCGTATCAACTGTACTGCTCAGCTTGGTGTCATTCACAAACTGCTGAGGGTGCACTCAATCCTACTGTCTGTGTTCTATTTGAATTTAATATTATCTTCACTTTATCCTTTTGCATGTGTCTTTAAATATTTTCTCTTCCTCTTTGTCACCATTTGTCTCTAAATTTCAAAGATCCATCTCCCCGAAGAGCCTTGGAATAGTCCATCTCCCACACTGGATGGAACTCCCAAGGTGGATGGACTGGCAGGGAAACAAGCTCCATCTTCTGTATCAGAAAGAAAGAAAATGCAGGTAAACTAATTCATGTTTGAAAAGACATTTACAACTCAAAAGGACAAAGGAAATTAGCATATTTAAATATAAGACTAAGTCCAAGCTTATATGTGATGGTATTCATACTTTGTCATTCATTCATTGAGGTAAGTGACAAGATCCTCTTGATTTAGGACCACTCAGTGGTACTAATTGCTAGCCCTTAGTTTGTGATACAGTGTTTAGGGAAAAATACTAGCTTTTCATTAGTGTCTGTGAGTTTCAGATACCAGGAATTTTTCTTTCTTGATCATGGCATAAATCCAGTCCAAACTGATGGTGTTAAGCAGCTGGGAGCCTCTTAAAAGTGGTGCTGTCAGATTAAGACAAGGAGATCCGCTTGGGGCAAGTGAGGTCAATCAGTAGTTCAGTGTTGGTGAGTAGGTTCTGACATAGCTCTGATGCAAGACGAGATCCAGGGCTCAGGAGGAGGTCACATTCCTTAAGCCTGTTGTAACAGAAGCTGTAATGAATTGATCCTCCAGGATAAGACTTACAAAGTACAAAATCTGTGAGTCATTTCCTTACCATGTTCTGCCCTTTTGTAGTCTTTGCTAGACTATTCATTTGTAGTCTTTTTATATTTTGAATCATTAAATGTGGTACCAAGTGTGGGACACTGCTTTTGCCTTCTCTTCAAAGCAGACAGGAAGATTACTGCTTGTGAGGAGGTGGTGCTTAAAGGTGATGACCTTTCTTTTTAATAAGGCATTGAAGATAGTGATATATGTGTATTGCAGTCACATACCCTGAAATATTCAGAGTAGTTTTTCTGTGCTTTTAACAAGACTTTACATTCTGCTAAGTCTTTTTTTTCAAAGATAGGTGGCAGTCTGACCAAAGTGGGAGCCTGACATAAAGCACCTCCGTTTATTAAAGAGTTTATACTTTTATGCTTTATTCCAGTAGCTATTAAAAATTATTTGAACTGTTTCTGATTTTTTTATTTTTCACATTAAAGTCAACGTGTATTTAAAGATCAAAATACTTTCATTGAATCAAGTTCAAAATGAAAATTACTGTGGATTAAGATGTTGAGTGTATTACACACCATACAAAATAATAACAGTCTTTACATTCTGAAATGGAGAGCATTACTAATTGGTACTGAACTTGTTCAGGAAACATCCAGGAACAGCGGTAAGAAGAGTCAAATTCCTGTGCAATTGGATTTGGGTGGCATGCTGGCAGTCTTGGAGCAGAAGCAGCAAACAGAGAAGTCAAAACAGTCTTCTAAACCTGTGGTGTTTTCAGGTATTGGGTTAAATTTCCTTTCTTTCAGCTGGAGTTGTTAAGTTAAATGTGGCCTGGTTTCATATCTGTAGTGATCTCTGAATGTACAAGCAGGAACACAGTTCACAAGATACAAGAGAAGATGAAGGTTCTTCTTCTTCAAAAAAAAATAATTAAAAAGCATGGCAATCTCAATTATTTGGAGGAAGACTTGGGGAAAGAAAAATCTTCGGGACAATAATTTACAAAAGAATACCTAATATAAATATGAGACTGACAAAAACACTCATGTTTGTGGGGGTTTTTGCTTTGTCTTAAATATATGTGTTGCTGTTTTGATCTGAACTTGCAGGAAGGGGCTACACCATAACAAAGGCTTTCTTAAGCTCTTCTGGTGCTAGAAATCCTGGAGCTGTACCTTGAGTGGAAAAAGCTCCTTTGCAAACACAGTCAATCAGTCCAAGCCAAAGGATGAGTTCTGCCATGCCTGATAATTGTGAAATAATTGCTGCTAATTAGTTTTGGTGATGGAGAGAATCTTTCAGACATTGCAGATGCATAACCAGGAAGCAGAAACAAATCTCTCGGTGTCTTTTTCATTGTAGGTCAAAATTTAGTCTTGGCTGGCTTAGTGCAGTGTATTTTACAAAAGGAAGCACGATGTTTGTTAGACTTTGATGATGATAAAATTTCTCTCCTTAGTACAGATTTTTTTTTAAATTACCTCAGAAAGAGAGCTAATCATGAGAGAATTCATCTCTCAGTGTTTAATATGATAGCTGAGCTTTCAAATAAAAAAGTCAAATACCAAGCATCAATGAGGTTTTCCTTCACTAACTGAGAGAACTTGTAAGATGCTTTTTTAAATTCTTTTTTCTGAAATTGATCTCTTTTTTTTTTTTCGAGTCAGTCAAACTCAATGCTGCAGAGGTGCTAACAAGTCTTGTTTCTATAATTAAATTATAGACAAATAAATTACAGAGTGCATGGATTGGCAAGTAGATGGTGGAGCACAAAGGTATGGGTCACAATACCTGTTTTCTAATATTACATTGTGTCTGAATCTGCTGCAGAAGGGAAATTGATGTGTCATGTTTGTATCCTGGAAGTATAAGGCAGATGTTACCTCAGCTTTATACTTTTTTCTTAACCTTCAGTGCAGCCATTAAATTGGTGTGTACCAAAATATGACTTTAGTTTGTGAAGGGGCATCTGTGCTGACCTCTATAACCAGAAGAGAGGCACAGAGAACAACAAGGGCAAGGGGTGTGACTGCAGACAGATCTATTTTATTCCACTTGCTACTTTATTTGGTAAATAACATATTGATAGAACAGCATAGTAAAGCAGTAATTATTTGAATTTAAATTACATTTTGGAAATGCATCAATCGTGCAGAATGACACAAACTGTTAAAGCCCTCAAGTTCAGGAACATGAGAACTTCGGGAATTTGAAATGAAGAGGTGATGTGTGCAGTGAAGGAAATACCATGTGTCTGCATATAAATGCAGAGGCAGTAAATGAAGAAGGCTTAAGACAAGCTGCTAGAAGCTTTGGGTGTTTTTTAGGGGAGAGAGATTGCCTGAGGCACAAAGGTGTCAAGCTCATTCGACTGGTACTTATGTCATCCTCTTCGTTGACTTGCTAATGTAACCTGGTTTATATTGCAAGTAACTGAAGTTTGACAGGATACAGCAATTCCTACTGATAGGGAGTTGAAAAGTGAGAGTAGTTTTTAGGATGTGAGGTCATGGTTTGGAAGGTCCAGGTCCCATGATTTGGCCAGTCATTTAAAGCTTCTGTGCTCTAAACCCTCTGAAAAATGCAAGTAAAGGAGGTATCTCCTGAGAGCTGTGCTGGTTAAGCAAAAGAGACTTAGCTGTAGCTTTGCATTACTCATTACTCATCTGCAAATGAACTTCATCCAACTTCATGAAGGTGTAACAAATCGTAGGAGTAAGTTCTCCAGATTATTTACAGCAATTAAATCTACAATCTGTAATACTGCAACTCAGTATTTATCTTAACACGGTACAGAATGTGTGGAGGAGGAAATGCCAATACCATGAAACATGGAGATTCCCGAAGGTTTCCCAAGCTGGTGTGGCATGACATTGAAGGTAGCTTGGAGTGGAGTGTTTTGCCAAATTCTGCTTTTGAGAGTTCAGGGACGGAGTTTGTGATTTTAGTTGTATAATAAAAGCAAAGGACACATCAGTCTTTTGGGAGGAGTATCTCTATTAAATAACATTGTTTAATGACACAGGATTGCCTATAAATATTCTGGATAGCAACACAACACAAATTTAGTATGTGTACGCTAGTCCTAATCCAGTCATTATTAAACTTGCATTGAATTCTAGTTTAGGTGTTTGTTATAGTTGTCTGATGCAGACTTTTATTTTTTATCTCAGTTGGTGGTGCCATACCATTGCTTTCTAAAGAACCTGCTACAACCACAAAAAGTTACCGGTTAAACCAAGGGAAGATGCCTCATAACCCTTTGGATTCCAGCGCTCCTTTGGTAAAGAAAGGGAAACAGAGAGAAGTCCCTAAAGCAAAGAGACCAACACCTCTTAAAAAGGTGCTCACATTTTTACCTTAAATAGTACAATATGGGCTAATCTAACTTCAGTATTACTCTTGTCAGTCTGTTAAACCTTCTGGTATGGGGGTCTGCCTCTCAGTGTCCAGTTGTCTAAATTCAGTTGTAGCTTTTCCTTGGTTTAAAATAGGCAGGAGGGGTGCAAGGGAGAAGAGGGGAGTCTTACTAAATAGCATATATAATTCCCCCAAAATATATTTTCTCACTTAAATCACTTGATAGCTGAAGAAGTGCAACTACACAAGTGTCCACACAAGTGTCCACATTGTTGGTACAGGGGGACATCCAAAGAAATCTTACTCGGTTCGGACAAGATATGCTTATTTGCAGGACTGGGGAGAATGGATCAAACACAGGTAGTAGTTAATGTTTCTGTGCTCTTCCAAGCTAGCACTTCAGCTGATTCTGCAGCAACTAGTGTTAGATCCACCTGGCGATTTCTCTTGTGTCTTCCCTCTTTGCCCATTCACATTGCTTCCTGTCATGTCTTCTATACGGAGGATTTTGAGGTACCACTCCATCGCTGGGTCACTTTTTGGTCTAGAACAATTCTTACAGAGCTAGCGAAGGTAGTTTAGTGGTCATTTTTTGCTACTTAATTGAATTTGAGAACTGTGCAATATGAACAACATGTAACAAACCTGGGGGCCTGATACTAATTACTGTGTCTCCTGGCTGTTCTGTCTTCATGCCATCTATTTTCCAAAGAAGGTTTAAGAATACAGAGATTGCTTTGTCTGTAGTATCTGTGTTCTCAGAACACAGAGTATGGTAAAGAGCTTATTTTTGTTCTTTGTTCATCTTTGGCAAATGCAAATAGAGAAATTTACTTTTGCAATTAGATTCTGTGGTGTAATTAATTACAAATTTTGGGTAGGTTAGGTGAGCTAGTTGTCATATATACATACAATAACAGCTTCTTAGCAGTTATGAAAGCAGAGAAGGAAGATGAGTTTCAGGAAACTGATTACTGCTCTTACCTATGGTAGCATGTTTGGATCCAGTGTATGTCCTGCTTCCCTTCCTTCCGTGTGCTGTACAGCTTAGCTATCCATAGCAATTTCTTTTCTTTTTCTTCAACCAGAAAATTCAGAGGCAGTGATCTGTGAGGCTGACTCAAGATTTTTAACAGCGGAATAAAGGGAAA